ACATTTTGTTGCCCCAGTCGGTGGAAGTACACTGCAGAAGAGCGTTTACTGCTTTTTTCCACTTGAAACACTCTTTCCTTTTAAGTAGAATTTAGATAATTCAGTTTCTCTAAATTGTTCTTCAAGAGTATAGTCCCCTTTCAGATTGAGCCACTGTTATTTTCCGCTGCAGGTGTCATGTTGAAATTGCTTAGGATGATGAGAATGGATTTCTAATTCAATAGACCTTTTTTTTTCTCCCCTCTTAAATCTTTGAAAATCACGATGAAAACTTTCCTTGAGCATGTATTGATGTTTTTCTACTAGTCTTAAGAATTTCATTTTTCAGATGATAATAGCGATTAAATAGCATGCATGAACCATCTTGAGTTTGTTTTCCAACATAGAATTTTTGCTTTGATTGCATAGGCTATATCAGTACACATTAATGTATGGTTGCTTCTTTAGGGTTTTAGGCTCATTCTATTATTTAAAATATCCTTTTAAGAGATTAAGTTTTGATGAACAATAATCTTTCAGAGAGTTAGCTAAGAGAATCATTCAAGGTTTATTAACATTTGTCTTTCAGTTCTGAAACTCATGATAAATGGTCCCTCTGGTGAGCCAACGTTTTTCATCATGAAATAGTAGACTGGTATTGTGATCTCATTGCTGTAGCTCAGAGATGACACTCATCAGCTGTTGATAACTAGTGACATAGCCCCTAATAAAGAGATGTCGGGAAAAAGAAAGTACCGTCAGGAAGTTTCCAGGAAGGAAAAGGAAACAATTACCAAGAAAACAGGAGTGCTAAATGTAAAGGTTGCTAAACCACAGCCATTGCCATCAAATCCATTCTGATTCATAGTGACCCTTAGCGCAGAGTAGAACTGCCTCTTTTGGTTTTTGAGGCTGTAGTTTTTTTCTCCCTACTTTTTTATTGGCATGTAATTCACATACCATACAATTCAAAAGTTCCCTCACATCAAGAGAGTTGTACAATCATTACCACAATCAGCTTTAGAACATTTTCTTCATCCTTGTACTCATCTTTGCTTTATTAATGCCCTATTTACCCTCGACCTCGCCTGCCATATCCCCAGGGAACCATGACTCAGTTGCTGTCTCTATACACTTACGTACCCTGGATTTCATATTCAGGAACATCTTAAAAAACAAACAAACAACAACAAACTAATAACAAAATAAAACAGATAAAAATAAAAAATAAAATATTAAAAACTAGAACAAATTTAAATGGATCATAAGGGAGATACATTTTTTTTTTTTTTAGTGGTGGCATTTTCATTTTATTTTTTCTATTATTTTTTTTAAAAATCAATTTATTGGGGCTCATACAATTCATCACAATACATAGATCAATTGTATAAAACACATCTATACATTTGTTGCCCTCATTATTCCCAAAATTCGCTTGCCTCTTGGGTTCCCGGAATCAGCTCATTTTCCTTTTTTCCCCCCTCCTCTTCCCTTCCTCCTCCCTTCTCCCCCATGCACCCTTAATAATTCATAAATTTTTATTGTATCATATTACACTGTCTGGCGTCTCCCTTCACCCACCCCCCTGCTGCCCGTCCCCCAGAGAGTAGGTTATACATAGCTCCCTGTGATCCATTCCCCTTTTCTTCATCCCCTTTCCCTCCTGGTATCGCCACTGTCACCCCTGGTCCTGAGAGGTTCATCTGTCCTAGATTCCCTGCGTTTCTGATTCCCATCTGTCCCGCTGTGCTTCATCTGGTCTAACCAGGTCTGCAAGGCAATATTGGGGTCCTGGTAGTTGGGGGGAGGAAGCATTTAAGAACCAGAGGAAGGTTGTGGGTTTCATTATTGCTATACTGTACCCTAAGTGACTCATCTCCCCACTACCCCTCTGGAAGGTATGTCCAATTGTCTAGAGATGGGCATTGGGTCTCCATCACGCGCCACCCTCATTGACAAGGATATGACTTTTCTCCCCGCCTTTGGTATTTAATGCCTGGTCCCTTTGGCCCTTCTATAGCGTCTGGGGACTTAAAGGCTTGAAAGTAAACAAGCGGCCATCTAGCCCAGAAGCAACAAAGCCCACATGGAAGCAGCACACCAACATGTGTGATCATGAAGGGCCAAAGGGAGATAAATTATAGGGTGTTAAATTTTAACCTTTCGACTTTACAATGCATGATAACAGGGTTATTTACATCTTTCAACCCTGATCGGACTAGATTCCCTGGAGACTTGATTCAGGTGGGGACCCTGTAATAGGATTTTAGGCTTTGGCTTGTGAACCAGGTGTTCACAATTTAAGCCTGATACCATTCCCTCTTTTTAGATTTGGATTATATTATTTACTGTAACCTTGGAACACACAGGATGGTGTGCTTTTTTATTTGGACTTAGTTGATACCTCACTTAGATGGCTGCTTGTTTGAAGACAAGCCTTTAAGACCCCAGATGCTATTCTTTCTGATAGCCAGGTACCATCTAGATTCTTCACCACACTTTGCTATAGCACACATATCTTCAGTGATCTCTTCATGAGGGTATCAAGCAGGACCATGTCATAAGAACGAATTGTTCTTACATTGGGGCTAGCATTAAGTGCAACTCTGAGGCTGTAAATATTTTTATGGGAGCAGAAAGCCTCATCTTTCTCATACACAGTGGCTGGTGGGTTCAAACCGTTTGCAGAGGCAGAGAAGTATTTAATGTGGATTTTCTAGCCAAGTCTTGAACTCCTACCAAATAACCTTTTCTTACATGGGTATGGTAAGAAGTGGGGGAAGACACGGATAGGATTCACCTGTGAGTAACTGTGAACAGGATTCCGTGGAATGCTATCCTGCTGTGTAATATAGGAGCCCTCTGAGGAGCAGGAAGAGGGATCTCATTACAAGCAAAAACTGAGTTGGGTGGGTCTTCTGGATATGAGATCCCTGTAGTGAATCTTCTGGATACAGAAGACAAATATAACATCAGAGCAGCAGCCTCAGAACCAGGAGCCAGAGCATGCAAGAGAATGGTGAAGTTCCCAGGCCACGGAGCAAGGAAAGCTGTGTGCTTTTGGTTAAGGGTCTGGCTTGTGGAGTTGGGTGCCTCTGGGTACTTAATTGAGGAAGCTAGGCTTACTGACCCATGGAAGTAGAGCTGAGTGCCTTTGGGTGGAGGCTTTTACTGGAATGGGATCCTTCTGGGTACTTAATTCAGGGAGCTGAGATTGCTCACCCACAGCACTTGACTGAATGCTTTCAAGTGGAGGCTTATAGCAAAAGTGGTATGCTCTATTGGACATGCATTAGCAGACCTAAAAGAAGAACTTTGTAACATCTTCTGCTATATAACTATCCTGAGCATTTCTCACTTGTATTATCACCTCCTGTTAGCTTCCTTAATAAACCCTCTCATCGTGAATATTGTCTGAGTTCTGTGTAGCCATTGCAATGGACACTGGAGCCTAGATATCAAGTTGAGAAGGCTAGTTAGACGGCACACTGCTGACTTTGTGGTTGCAGCCTAACTCATTACCACTGCATCAAGAGTGCTCCTTAAAGGTTACTGCGGATGTGCTTTCATGCAATTAGTTGCCTGATTTTTCTTCTTCTTCCAGTGGGCAGTCACTGACCGTGAACCAGCGTACAGTTTCACCAGCAATGCAGTATGAAAGTTCCAGGCTGTCCACACCCTTGGCAGTATTTGTTTTCTATTTAGTTTTTTAACTTTGATATTAATGTTGGGGTAAGGTGGCATCTCATGGTTGTTTTGATTTGTAGCTTTCGCCTGGCTAGTGGAGGAGCCCTGGTGGTGCTCTGGGTTAAGCATTGGGTTGCTAACCAATAGGTTGGTGATTCTAACCAACCGGCTGCACTGTGGGTGAAAGATATGGCAGTCTGCTCATGTTAAGATCTGTAGACGTGGAAATCCTAGAAGCAATTCTAATCTGTCTCATAGTGACTATGAGCCAGAACCAATTAGATGGCCATGAGACATCTCCCTTCACTCACTTTTCTTTTTTCTATGGTGATGAGTGCACAACTCTTTTTTTTATTATTATAAAATCATGGTATTGAGGGCTCTTACAGCTCTTATAATAATCCATACATCAATTGTATCAAGTACATTTGTACCGAGGTTGCTATCATTTTCTTTTTTAATCATTTTATTGGGGGCTCATACAACTCTTCTCACAATCCATCCATCCATCCATTGTGTCAAGCACATTTGTACATTTGTTGCCCCCATCATTCTCAAAATATTTGCTTTCTACTTGAGCCCTTGGAATCAGCTCCTCATTTTTCTTCTCCTTCCCTCCCCCCTCCTCCCTCACGAACCCTTCATAATTTATAAATTATTATTATTTTGTCATATCTTACACTGCTGTCCGTGTCTTGAGAGTTTTCTGCTGATCCAGTTAGGCTCAGGATGTTGGTCTCTATTTTGGTGGAGGCGTTGATGCCATCCCCACACGTGTGTGTTCTTTCCAGTGGCACGTGTCCCACTGAGGGATCACTTGTTTGTCTTAGAGTGTGTTGAATAAAGGTCTGGGGAATGTGCTCTATACTCTGAATGAAAGTCTCTCATAGGTCATTCTCTGTGTGTCTCTTGTATTTTATGTTTAAAGATGCATATGTTCTTTAATAGAATAATTTTAGAATAGATGTTACATAAATATTAATTGATATTAAGAGACCTGTGGCTCCAGGCTTTAGTGTTGTTGTTAGGATTCAAGGAGCCATACCATGTGTAAATACCTGTACAGTTTAGAAACCTTCAGAAAGCTAAGGGATTGTCACTCCTTATAGTTTGTACATGAGTAAGATTATATCTGAGGACTTGTTCTCAAGGTAGAAAACACAAGAATTACATAGAGGAGTGACTTGTAATTGTTGGATACTCAGCACACACAGACACCCATATATTACAGTTTGTCAAAGGATCACAAGGTAAATAATTCATCTCTTATCTTCATGTTCTTACTGATTCACTGACGATGACTTGGATTTATTTTTAAGGATTTGTGTACATCGATGGCAGAATCCTCCAGTGAGTCAGACTACTTCCGCCAGCAAGACCAATTGAGTCGGTGGTCTACAAGGTCAACTTATAGAAGGACTCGAAATTACCCTACAGCAGATGTCACCAAGAAGGTCAACACTATAACAAGCACTTTACAGGTTAGCAGTGGCTGAATTCAATAGACATTGAAAACCAGAACCAAAAACCATCCCCCCCGCCATCGAGTTGATTCCGACGCATAGCAACCCTATGGGACAGAGATGGGGAAGTCCTTTCTGCCATGTAAGGTAGTGTGTACACAGGGTCCAGGGAGTAAGTCATGGGCTCTTTTGAGGCGATTACGCTGCCTACCATGGGCTCAAACACAGCAAATATAGTAAAATAGCACAGGAGCAGGCCATATTTTGTTCTGTTGTACTTATGGTTGACGTGAGTCTGGGTTGATGCGATGGCAACTAACAACAACAACAACAACAACAACAACATTTGCCCTGTTAACCTCAGAAAACATCTTAAAAATAAAGAGTTGTGGAGAGTGTTTAGGATACAATGATATTTTCAAAGAAGGTGTTGTGAGATCGAAACCAGAAGGAAATTGCTATAGTTTAACTTATAGTGGACGTGTACCTTTTGAGATCTTGCCTAAGAGTTTGGGTAGGCTGAGTATGTATCTGTATAAGAGAGAGTTTTATGTAAAGAAAATGTGCATCACAAAAACATCCCAACCCAATGCTGCCCAAGCCCACAAGTCCAACATTAACCCATTAACCCAACACCAGTCCACAAAGTCCTCCACCTCACAAAACAGAGGCAATGATGCCGACTGCAGGAGGAAAGCTGAGTCAGTGAACGAACAAGCATCTCAGCACTAGCAGGGGTCTCCACATGGCTGCTCTAGCACCCAGGGCTGCATCGGGGTAGGTCCATGTAGCTTCTCCTTGGGGATGTCTTGTAGGAAGTCAATCTTGCAAGCTGAAGCAGGGAATTGCTAAGGCAGCTGCACCTGGTGCAACCATCACAAAACAAGAGACTAGAAAGGCGAGGCTTCACCACCCATTTATCCCTCCGCCTTTCAACCAGCCCCACATGTGATTATCGGCCAGGCTGGCACAATTAACTAACTCAGTATCCATGTATACATAAAATGGAATCAGGAGCCCTGGTGGGTTTGTGGCTACACATTCGGCTGGTACCCATAAGGCCAGCAATGTGAACCCACCAGCTGCTTCGTGGGAGAAAGAGGAGACTTTTTATTACCATGAAGAGTTACAATCTCGGAACCCCACAGAGGCAGCTCTGCTCTGGCCTATGGGGTTGCTGTGATGGGGAACCGACTTGATGGCGGTGAGTTTGGCTTGGAGTTTTGGAATATGGAAGTGTGATTGTGATATTTTGAGGCAATCCTTTGGCAGTAGTGGGATGTTTGAATAATGGCAGATTGTATTCTTTCCACAGGAAGGCATGGGAAAGGAGTTCAGGGAAAGGGGAGTTGCATCACCCTGAGAAATAGAACATTTAGAAATAGAATGTCGTTTTTTCCCCATTAATCCCTCATTTTTGCCTTCACCTGCATATTCAGGGATTTGACTTCATTCTGTTTAGTGAGTATGCTTACACAAGAAGAGGCCAATTTTGGAGGAAAAGCCATCATTTGCTTAAAAAATGTAGAAGCTTTTTTAACTTATTTGCTAAACATAGTGGTGGATGGTCAGAGTGTGCATCCTTGTACTTTCCCATCGATGAGTTACACTAATAAGTATATATTTCTTTGGGGGAAAAATTGATCTTTTTAAAAAATTGCTTTATTAGGGGCTCATACAACTCTATTACAATCCATACATACATCAATTGTGTAAAGCACATTTGTACATTCATTTATCTTTCTGTTTAAACCCCACAGAGGTTTAAAAAACAAAACCTTTTTTGTTTTGATTACAACTGAATTTATTATTGATAGCTAAAGGTTAAAGGCTACTTTTTTCTTATTTTGTCTTTTCTAATCCAAATCTGAGGCGAAGCCCTAAATGAAGTAGCATCGATCCTAGTGCTTGACTTCTCGTCCACAATTTATTAGATTTACTCCCAGGATTCCTTTTCAGGGAAGAGGGTGCACATTTGTTGCAGTGCCTGCATTTATAATGAGAGTTCTTTTCAATTTGTGATTCTTGCGATCACTGATTATGGGACATCGGGTAAGGATTTAAACTCTATGCTTTAGATATCACACAAGGAAAATGGAGATGGATTTTAGTGATGTTAATGCAATTTGATATTCTGAAGGACTGTTATCCAACTTCACTGGCCAAATTATACCTTTCATAAACTGTTGACTTAATGGTTGGACCTTCTGTTAAGGTTGATTGGGAAAAAACAGTGTTTGGAACAATTAATGGAGTCATTTTTCCCCTGAAGGACACCAGTCGGAACCTGCGACAAGTGGACCAGATGCTTGGACACTACCGAGAGTACAGTAACGAACAAGCAGGTGCCATAGAACAAGTAAGACCTTTGGCGCATGTGGGCATTTTTTTCTGCCTGGCCTTTCTGAAAATGCAGCCTTCTGGGAAAGGGATGTGTGACAAAGGAGATCGCTATGGTGAACAACTTTTAGACTGCTTTGTTGTTTTGTAGTTTAAATCTAGGGTAGGTTGTTCCATAGACTGCCAACTAATTGGAGTAGATTAGATTGTGTGGAATTTAAAAGCTTTACAGCAGAAGGGAAGAATTCAAATATCAATTAAGCTGAGCCAGGATAAATTTGGGCCACAAGTAACGATCAGGCTGAATTAAGAATTTTAAAGGTAGCTTATTCATTGGTTACAAAGTAATAATACGTGTGCATTGTTGAAAAAACAAAACTACCGTCTGACAGCTCCGCACAGTTCTGCTCCACAGACCTGGTCGTTTCTTGTATATCTTTCCATTATTTTCTAAAAATCATACTTTGCAACTTTTTTCAGTTGAGTGATGTATCTTGCTTGTATCACTTTCCTATGACTTCTGGTGGTTCTTCATTCTTTTGAACAGTTATAGAATATTCCATGGTGTGCGTGTATCCATGCTTTTTGTTTTTGTTTTGCTATTATAAACAATATCACAGTTACCATTATTGCATATACATTTTTGTATAATTGATAGGATTCCTGGAAATATCTAGGGTAAAGGGTATGTATCTGAGAAAATTTTCTGATAGATTAAATCATATATAGACTTGCATATTTGGGCAGCTCATGAAATGTTTCAGGTTCAATTACTTTCAGTGATGATGAGAGTCAGTTATTCGCTTTTAAATTGATTAATGAAAAATGAAAACTTTTTTTGTCAACTAATGACATAGAACAACTTCTACCTGTTGACTAGCATTAAATGGTTATTTATGCTAACACATTTTATTTGAGTTAGGTAATTGGGAAACGAAATTGTGTATTAGAGAAACTGCTGTACAGATGAACATTAGGAACACAAAAAGCCTTCAGTGGCAGTTAGCCTCTGTGGTCGACCGAGAGTAGAACAGCGGTGGACTCTGAGGAATGGTTTCTTCTACGGGAGACAAACTCAACAGGGATTTTATTTCCATCTGTGCTGTTAGTATAGTTAATGCAAAGTTAGTCATTAGCAATAAGACAAAGGAGAGCAAGAGTCTTCCCCTTTGCTGCTTCAGGCTTTATGTAGTCAGTCTGGAGCCTTCCCAAGTGCTTATGCTCTTAGGACAGCTGGGTCTCAGTGTGCTTTTCCTCCAGCATGTGAAAGCCGTCCATCACACACTGGCTTCTACTTACATGGTCTTGAGGAAGCAGTGATTTTCACTGTGATGGCTCCGAGCTGTCTGGGCAGCACCTGCCACGATCGGTGGGAGGTTTTGCAAGTAAGAAAGAGTGCTTCTTACGACAAGTGATTCTTCAGATGGACCACTCATTGAAAATAGCCTTCTTAGTCTTAAATCGTTACTTCTATGAAATATATCAGGCCTAAAAAAATGAGTATATGTAATGCATAAACTGTCATGCGAGTTACCGGAATCTTGCTGATTTTGCTCTTGACCCTCTTGAGGTGATTGTAGGATTATTCATTTGACTTTTTCTTTTATAATCATTGTGGGTTCTCTTTAGAGAGGGATCCTGAAAGATGAATCTGCCCCCCCCCCCCTTTTTCTTAGATTCTGTGCTGAAATTTCCACAAGTCCTCTTGGTGTGGAGCCTACGGGTTATTATTTCTTAACCAACCCTTAACGTGTTAATTCATTTTAAACAATGCACATATATGAAAAATATTCTTCCTGTTAGAAATAGCCTTTGCTTAGTTAAAATGAGCCTTTCTCATTTAAAGCGTGAAGAGATTCCAGGAAAATTATGTCTGTTCTGTTGCCCTAGGGAAAACATTGTTGTTAGGATCCATCAAGTCTGTTTAGGCTCTGTCCTTGCGTAGGACAGAACGTCATCCTCAGAATGAGGTGCTTGGGCCCATTGTACAGCCAGTGTCAGTCAATCAGTCTTGTTGAGGGAAAGCAGGCATGATGGTTACTAACTTAGATTTCATAACTAAATTTACGGTTAAACCTCAGTAAATGGATCTGTGATATGTATGCATTTAAGAATTTGTTTTCCTAGAGTCCAAGTTTGAGGTTTACGTTACCAAAATTAAGGGCGAGAGTTTGGAACTATAAATATTTTCTTCCTGAAAGATTCCATTCCCAAAAGTGTGAAAATTATTCCCATTAAACTTGAAGGCCTAAGAGTCATGGGTCATGTTGAATCTCTTCTCTTGGCTCCTTTTCTCAGAAATGGACATGATTACACTGTTTTCCCCTGGAATTTTATAACCTCCGGGCCTCATGTTTCTGCTTGATTACAGTAGGTGAAGGCCTTTGGTGAGTAGTCTCACAGTGTTAGACAGTTGAAGGGTCCTCTGTGATTCAGAGTATTGGCACCTCCCTTAAGTGTTCTCTTAGAGAATTCTCCAAATACGTCCAATGCCCCAGACACTTTAATCTATGTTAACTCATGTCAATCCTCGTTCACAATTCTGTAAGGTAAGTATTGCTACGGTGATTTCCCTGATACGGAAACTAGGGCACCGAATGGTGTATAACCTAGCGTTTTTCCTTCTAGTCAGTAACAGAGCCAAAGATAGGATGTCATCCCTAAGCACAAGGTTGAGGTTCATTTATCTCACTGAATCATGGTTGTAAATTGATTATTTCTGAAAATTGGCATTTTGGTATCAAAGTTCAAAAGGTTATGTAATTATAACCTCTGTAAATTCGACTGAAAGTCATCCTAATGGTTGGAAAATAGTGGACCACTGTCACCCAACTAGTTTATATTAAAGCTGGCACGATGTTTAGAATGAAAATTATGTGGGAACATAAGGAAGCAAAACTGGAGAGAAGTGTGGTGCTCACCTAGCATTGGCCTTGGGCCATTGTCACTGTTGACGATTCTAGCTGCCATGTAGGCGATGTAGCAGACTCTGCATGTTACCCGCATGAACATCAGTGTTTCTTCTTTTCCTGGGCAACAGCTGTGACCGTTTCACTCAGCTTTCTTGTAGCTGTTCCAACCAGGGAGCCATATTTAGTTAGAGTGTATGATTTAGGGTCTTTGAATCTTATGAAGTTCATAACCTTAGGGAAGTGTTAATCATGTATTTTCATTTTTCATGTTAGGAATTACCTGAGAGGTCTGAGAAGGTGGGTCAAAGAGGAAATGTGGGGAAGGGTTAAAAGTATACTGTGGAGATTTAGAAAAAACTGTATAACTGTGCTATATAATGTAATGCATTGTCATTGTTAGGTGTCATTCAGTCCATTCTGACTCGCTGTACAACAGAAGGAAATACTGCCTAGTCCTGGGCTGTCCTTGTAATTGTTCTCCTCTTTGAGCCCATCGATGCAGCCATCCTCTATTTTACTGCCCTGCTACTTTACCAAGCATGATGGCCTTCTTCAGGGACTGGTCTCTCTTGACAACAGGGCCAAAGTACGTGAGATGGAGTCTTGCTACTAAAGAGCACTCTGGCAGTACTTCTTCCAAGACAGATTTGTTTATTCTTTTGGCAGTCCGTGGTACATCCAATATTATTTGTCAGCACCATACTTCAAATGCATAGATATTCTTCCGTCTTTGTTATTCAGTGTCCAACATTCACATACAGATGAGGTGATTGAAAACACCATGGCTTGTGTCAGTTGCACCTCAGTCCTCAAAGTAACCTCTTTGCTTTTCAATACTTTAAAGAGGTCTTAGGCAGCAGATTTACCCAGTGCAATTAATTTTAATTTCTTGACTGTTGCTTCCGCGAGCATTGATTGTGGATCCAAGTAAGACAAAGTCCTTGGGGCACTCAATTTGATTTCGATGTGTTCTATTGGAGAACTCCGTGTGTATAGTCATTGTGTTGTTGAAAAAAGGGATTTGTAGCGAAGATGTTGGACTTGCAAAATTCTGTCACATGGTCTCTGACTTCATTTCTGTCGCCAAGGCCACATTTTCCAACTACTATTTCTTCTTCTTTAAGTTTTGCATTCCAATTGCTAACAACGATCAATGCTTCCAGTTTAATTTCAGACTGAAGACATGTAGAATTCTTTCACAGCTTTGGTGGTTGGTGCTTGAATTTGAATATTAGATGCATTGATTCCATTTCCTTCAATGGTTAACATGTTCTTTTGGCTGATGAATGCAATGCTCTATCTCTTGATTGTGCCCTTCCCAGCATAGTAAATCACATGCTTTCGGATTCACAATGTCCAGTACCAGTCCACGTCGGCTCACGGATGCCTAGAATGTGGATTCTGATGTGTTCCCTTTCAGTTTTTACAACTTTCAATTTTTCTGCATTCAGACTTTGGGCAATTCCAAGTTTTAAATATTAATTGATGTCTGCAGCTGTTTCTTCTAATTTTGAGCTGTGCCGCATCGACAGATGAAGACCCTGTAGGCTTTACTCCATCCCTGTCCTTACCGTCAGCTGCACTTCCTCGGTCATATTTTGAGTGCTTTCTAAGGTGAGGGGCTCGTTTTCTGGCTCTGTCTCCAACATTGTTCATCTTCTTCCTCTTTTCACGTGGTCCTCAGTAGCTGACTATGTTGCATTCATAAGATTTTCTGTAGTTACAGGTGGACAGCCTATTCCTTCTTAATCTGGAAACCCTGATGAATGAAACCTGTTCCCTTTGGGTGACCCGGCTGTCCTTTGAAGTCCTGGTGACATAGTTTCTAGCATCACAGCAACCTGCAAGCTACCACAGGGTGATAGACAGACAGACAAATGGTGGCGTGATACATCAGCTTTGTTTTTTAGACCAGTTCTAGAGTTGTGTGTGTGTGCCTGTCCATGAAAGAACCAGGCCTTGTGTTAATATTGTAAAAACGGAAGGTCCTCAAGAAAGAATATTCAGCACAAGATGTTAATACCTTATGGGTACAGATTTGGCTGGTAGCCAATGAGACTGTGTAGTTAATATTGGGTATAAAAGGAAAATATAGTTCTCTTAATTT